GACATTCATCTCTGGCCTTCACAAGCACAAACATGGGTGCTCATATGTGTACACACCAATGCACCATCTATACATACATACACAAAGAAGAAGAAAACACCATAAATGCTAAGTGGAAAAGACAGGTATAAATTTCTCAGATATTATTATAGAACACCTGCATGATTTTATCAGACATGGAGATGAGGGTGATAATACACCACAAACACAGAGATGGTTAAATGATTCTCATCTTGATCTGAGATAGAGCTCAGTAGTAGAGCATTTGCATACCATGTGCAAGGTGGTGGGCTGTATCCCTAGTACCACAGTTGGGGTGGGGGACTCCTTGTCTTGAATATCTGTGATCATTTCAACACTGTTATCTTAATTTAAAAAGTGCCACTGAAAACAGAGACCACTCCTGAGAGTGTCATAACCCCTTCTAATCTATTAGCTTGGACATAACCAGTGACTCCAACTACTATGGTGTGACATGGGTGGGGAGCATTCCTAGAAATATACCCATTAAAATATACTCTGGCATAGGGGCTTACTCATCGATGGGTCTTTCAACACTATGACAAAATACTAAAATACATGACATAAACAACTTAAGGGAGGAGGACTTGCTTTGGCTCACAGTTGCAGAGATTTTTAGTCCACAGTTCTTGGTTCTGGGGATATGGTGAAGCAGAACAAAACGCAACAAAATATGTCTTCCAAAGACACACCCCCATGACCCACTTCCTCCCATGGGACCCCATCCATCTTCCATAATTGCCTTTAGATAACATGCTTAAAGTCTGAACCCATCAATAGATTAACCACTGCTTAGGCCATAGCCCTTATAATCTAACAGATTCCTTTGGTGTCTCTCAATCCATTCAAGTGCAGTATCAATGTTAATCATCACAGTCAAAGTTTTACTATTGAAGTTACCCAACTGGGAACACTCAGACTGTTCCTCCTGGTGTGGTCATGATTCTCCTGGGTTGTGATTTTAGCATCTTCCAGCCCATATCAGCAGGTGCTGTGGGACCAGAGCCTCCAGTCTTCTCCATCACCTGCTTTTCCTATACCTCTCCCTATTACCCCCCCACCCCACCCCCGAGTTAGTGCCTCCTTCCCCTCTCCTCTACTTTATACTTCTGATTTTAGTACTTTTAGCTAAGTAGTTTCCATTCCTCATTTCTTCAACTTGCCATGCCCTTGAGGAACACCCTACAAGTTGAGTATTATCATCTCCTTTTACAGATTGGGAAACTAATATCTGGCCTAAAATTAAACAGAGAGTAAGTGACAGAACCAGTGGCATGCATTGCTCCCTCCAGGTCCCACCGGTGCTGTATGTGACCAGAGTGGACAGGACAGAGGGAAGGGAAGCTCAACTCTCCTCCCCTCCAGCTCCACCTTCAAATGAGATGGAAGCAAAGCCTCCAATCTTTCCATTGCTGAGTGTGTATGCCTACAGTCTGCAATGCTGGCTGGGTGTGATGACTACGCCAGGTAGCAAAAGATCCCTGATGGAGATGCACTCATTGTGTGCCTCACACTGGTCAGGTTGATAAAATGCAAGTCTCCCAAGGTTGGAGAAGGCCCTAGGGAAGAATCTGACACTGTTATTATTATTATTATTATTATTATTATTATTATTATTATTAATGTGTGTTCCATTGTATGCATTTCGAACTCACAGAGATCCGCCTGCCTCTGCCTCCCGAGTGCTGGGATTAAAGGCGTGTGCCACCAACGCCCGGCCTGACACAATTATTTTCTATATGAACATAGTGTCAAACTGCCTTCTGAATATTACGTTAAAACCCATAGGTCAGTGCTGCTCCCAGCCTTGGTGAGAGAAGCCTTTGTTTACAGTGGGTGACACTTAAAGCAGGGATGCACAACTAATCAAATGCTAAGAATAAGAGTGGAGTGCCCCGCCCTGAATGTGACATCTATGCCACTCTCTCTGGGGCTCGAGAAATATTGTGGATAGAATGTAAGAGCTTGAGGATGGGGAGAAGTGAAAAGCTGTTTGACTGTTGTGCCCCCCCCACCATGAACTCACAGAACTACACAAAGCTTGCACAAGACTGGACCCATCAGCCACCATCATAGACGGGGAGAGGCTCACGAGGCCCCAACCCTCCCTGAGGAGCTGTAGGGAGTTATAAGTTGGGGATGGGAGAGTCATATTCCTCAGTGGTGCAGCCACTGGTAAACCCTGTTCAAATAAATTGCTCCCCTGCCTGTGTTCTTGCAGGCAGTTCTAATTACATGCAGTGTGTCAGAAACAAATAAAAAGATGTGAAAGTGAGTGTGTGCATGTGTTCGTGTGTGTGTGTGTGTGTGTGTGTGTGTGTGTGTATGTGAGTGTGTGCGCGTGTGTGTGTGCGTGTGTGAGTGTGTGCATGTGTTCGTGTGTGTGTGTGTGTGTGTGTGTGTGTGTGTGTGTGTGTGTGTGTGTGTGTGCGAGTGAGTGCGTGTGGGGGGGGGGAGGGCGAAGAAAATGTTTTTAAAGCATAGAAACTGAAGTCTCAAGATTACGATGTTTGTTTGGAATTATATGATATCAAGATTATGAATAAGTGCAAGGGAAGAGTAAACACAGACTCCATACACTGAATCCCTCTAGGGTGGGAGGGAGCAGGTTACACCAAGGAAAGAATTACATCATGGCTTTCAATTGCTTGGGTAGTGTTTTGTTTCATCAACATGATGTCCAACACTGCTCTTGAAGTCTCTTTCAGATGTGAAATAGTTTATAACTGTTAAACCAACAAACAATAACCACCAGAAACGCTCTCACCTCACTGCTTATTAGGTGCAAAGAGTGTGAAATAAAATTGGATATGCGCTATGATCTCAATTTCATAAAAACAGAACAAATGAAAAAACAACTAGAGGGCTTTCTTCTCAGACTAGCAGACAAGAAGTCTGGAACAGCTGTTATTGCCTTTTTTATACCTAACAATTTATTGCAGTTTCCAAACTTTTACACTGAGTGCATATTGCTTTTGGTATCAAAATCAAATATTACTTCTTTATTTAAAAAGACAAATCGGTTCACCTTGAGTACAGGAGTATGGTGATATTTAGCCTGAAGTAAGGGGGAAATTATTCAAACCAAGTGTGGGGATTACAGGATCCAATTTAAGTCCTCAGCTCTCAGCTGACAAAATTTTCTTATCTGTAAAATGCTTAAATAACAACAACAATGACGATAATGATGATGATGATGATGAAGAGTACCTTTCCAGATTATGTCAAGGAGCATTGTGGGAATATGATGAGATGATGTTCACCTTGCTTCTTGATGTTGTTCTTGTTGTTTCTCATTTTTGTGACAAAATACTTGACATAACCAGCAAAATGGAGGAAGGGTGTATTGTGGCTCACAGTTTCAAATGGGTCGGTCCATCATGGGGAGGGGACGCTGCAACCGTTCACATCACTGTGGAGAGGAAGTAGAATGGCACTCCAATAGTGAGGGGCCAGGGCAGGACATAGTTCTCAAGAACACTTCTTCCAACAACACCCACCTGTGATGTTTTATCACCTCCCAGCTCTGCCATCATGTGTAGAGACCACCAAGAGTATCTTTCCATTAGGTCAAAGTCTCGTGATCTAGTCAGCTCTGGAAAGACACTCACAAACACTCAGAAGTGTGCTTCATTAATCTCCTAGATATTTCTTAATACAATCAAGTTTGCAATTGAGTTCATTTGGTAGTTTTGTGATCCACAGTTGGCCATTGGGCAAGATTGTGTAGTAGAAACCCAGAGGGAAAAGCTGAGCTCCTCAGGACCCCTGATACATAAAAACAAGTACATTGTTGGGAACAACCCAGTACAGAGTGACAGACTATTTATGCAGCCTAGAGAAGGGGTGTGGTGACCCCTGTTGAGGGACAGACTGATCCAAATGGAAGAGACTGACATCATTACTATACAACAAGGAGAGATAAACTTTGACCCCAAGAAAACCAGAATAGACTCCTACAAACCAAGCAAACACCCTTCAGACAACATAGGAGTGACATGGAAGCTACAAATCGATCTCAGGTGTGAGCCCTAGTTTCCTCTCAGTCTTTCTTCCCAGCACTCTTATGTACCAAAGGGAGAGATTCACACACACCACACCTTGAGAAAATGCCACTGATGGAACAGATTGACGCACAGATTCTGTATCCAACCTTGTGTTGGAATTAGAAGTGTCTGAGAGACTGGCAGTGCAACAGCCTGGAAAACAGTGGGCTGCTCCAAAGAAACCACCACCATGAGTCTGTTTAACACAGTGTCTGTGGGGTGTAATGACAAATGCTAGTAGCGGAGTGGTCATGAACTCCTCCTATAGTGGCCTGAAGAAGGCTGCGTGGTGAGGAGACTCTGCAGGCACCTGAAGTATAATTGGAGGCAGAAGGGTGCCAGGAATAATGAAGCTGCTATTCTCTGTACTCACAGTTTTAGAATTCCTAACATGGGACTGAAGAGATGTCTCAGGGGTTAGGAGCACTGACTGCTCTTATAGTAGACCTGGATTCAATTCCCAGCATCCACATGGCAACCCAGAACCATCTGTAACTACAGTTCTATAGGATCCAATGTCCTATAGATCCATGGGCACCAGGCACACATGTCCGCAAAGCACCCACGAACATAAAATAGTAAAATATTTTTAAGGAAACAAAAAAAAAGAGAACTGCTGCCATTTCATTACCATCCCATTGTGTGAACACTGGTATTATCTTCCCCATTTTGCAGATGAGGAAACAGGCATGGATGCGTGTAATTCTTTGCCTGCATCTGCACTACGGTAAGGCCAGAATATTAATTCAGTTGTCTGGGCACCTCTATCTCTACAGACTGTTGGGTGCTCCCAGTGAGCTGGCTCTGAGAGCTCAGATGGGCACAGGTCCTATTGCAGCTATAGCACAGGGTGAGCTGACAGCATTCTATGAGTGACTCCCTGTGGCAATGCTCTGAGATTACTAATGAGTGATTTCCTCTTGTGTCTTTCAGCTCACAGCCCCGCAATTCCCCGTGGTGATCAAGCTGGGACATGCCCATGCTGGCATGGGAAAGGTATGAGAAGAGCTTGAACACACACAGTCAATATAACCACAGCAGCCCAGACTATCTGTTGCCCGCCCCCTACGGGTGCAGTCCTCCAGGACTCCCCCAGACCAGTCTCCAGAGGGAAGAGTGTTGGAAGGAATCAACAACTCACCTCCCTCAGCCCACAGCTCACTCCTCTAATCTTGCATTGCATGGACTATCTCTCTCACAGCCTGAGCTCTGAACATCACCTTAGATTGACAGCTTCTAGCTCTCCATGATTATAGTTTAAGAGACTTGAAGGAAAAACCTTTGTTGACAATGATTCCTTTGTACCAAGTGGCTATTATCTTCTCCTCCCTCGGTGCTGTAACCTCCTCTCTTATTTGTTCCTCCTTCACCTGCTGTGCTAGCACCACCAAAGTGCAAACAGCGCTGCACAGCAGGAGCCACTGGAGTCAGCAGGCTTCTGCCAAACTAAACAATGTATTTTACACAGTCGCAGATGACATCCAGGGCAGCTGTATTGGTCAGCCTCTCAGTTGCAAGTGTCAAAGCACCAATCTATTTGGACCTCCAACTAAGGTCTCTCCAGCATCACATCTCTCATGGGAGATTGCTTGGGTTCATGTACCTACCTCCAATGGGGGTAGTGAGGGATGGGTTGACCCCAATCAAGAGGAAAATCCAATCCTAGAGTTGTAGGCAGTGGGGAGCTACAGAAGTTACGTCTCGGGCCTCAGAAAAGGCTAAATGATAAATGATGGAGGTGGGGAGGACCTTGCCTTGACCAGCTTAGACAGCTGTACAATTCTGCACTTCATGCCTATATTCTTCTCCTCCCTTCCCACCTGTGCCCTTCCTTCCCACCTGTGCCCTCCCTTCCCACCTGTGCCCTCCCTTCCCACCTGTGTCCTTCCTTCCCACCTGTGCCCTTTCTTCCCACCTGTGCCTTTCCTTCCCACCTGTGTCCTTCTCACCTATGCCCTTCCTTCCCACCTGTGTCCTTCCCACCTGTGCTCTTCCCATTCAGGTGGCATAAGGAGAGAGTCAAAGGTTCAGGGCTAGGCAGAGCAGGGTGGGGCAAGTTCTAAACCAGCCTCTTTTAGGCGTCTTCACCCATTAGATGGTGATTCTAATCACAGCCTCCAAAACGAGTCTTTCTGTGTGAATCAGCCTGTCTCTGTGAAAAATGTGTAAGAAAATCAGCTTCTAGGAAGTTTGCCTGTCTGTTTTTGCCCATTTCAGAATTTTTGATTCATGGTCACTTGGTCCTGTTTGGGGCCTATGCTGGCACAGTTCACCACAGCAGAGAGGGTGTGGTGAATCAAAACTGTTCATGTCACAGCAGCTAAAGGAATGAGAGAAAGGAGAGACTGATAGGGTGTGAAACAAAGCCACTCCCTTTTAAACTCATTAAGCTATGAATCCATTGACGAGATCTGAGCCCTCCTGATCCAGTCACCTCCCTACCCCCAGCCTCTGCTTATAAATTGCTGCAATGGGGAGGGCATTTAATATCCAAACCATAATACCTCTGTCCGGACTCCGTCGAATACCCACAGGACCCAGGGCAGAGCCTGGTGAACAGATGAGAGGATCTGCTCTAGAAGCCTATGCCTCCTTTGCCCCTCCCTCCTCCACTGATACACTCTGCTCTAGCCTCCTCCTCCTCTGGGCTGAAAGTGTCCTCCCTGTGGTTCCCAATGGCCTTCATGCCAATTCAGTCCTGATCTGATGTCTCTGCTTAAGCTTTTTGAGCATCCCTTCTTATCCTCAAACTTTTCCTCTAGTGGCCTCTGATTCAGGTTCTTCTCCTGGCTCTTTTCCTCAGTTTCACTGATTATACCTTCAGTCTCTTCCAAGGACAAATCCTCCTGTGCCACCCCTGACCATGGCCAAGCCATAAGCACACTGTTATCTCTCACTAGCTCCCTCAGATTCAGCTGTCATCCTCATGTCAATGGCCTCCTGAGTCATATTTCCTGTATCTCCAATTACCTCCTGTATTTTGTTACCTTGTTTCCATGGAAACACCCCAAACAATGTTCGTTATCTCCTGCCTCCTCTTCATCTTCTTCCTCTCCTATGTTTTCCATCTCTGCAACAGAAACCCGTCACTCATTATTTCAAAACCAAAATCAAAGGCGAGGGTAGCTCAGGGATGGAGATTTTAGCTAGCGCATCCCAGGCCCTAGGTTATCTTCCATCTCAGGCACAAACAACTCAGAGATGTATGAGTCATCGCTGCCTCCTCCATGAAATGGTCACCAAGTTCTTGTCACTTGACCCTTGTTTTTCTAGATGCCCCTTCCCATCTGTCTACTGTCACCATCTTGGACATCTCTGGTAAAGTTAAGAGCTCCCAAGGACTTAATTATATCACTAAAGCTTAAAATAATCACCAAGAGGAAATAAGGCAGTATCCTCAGAGATGAATGCAATGCATAGGCAAGAGGGATGTCCCAAAGGTGAAGAAGTCAATCCCCAAAGCAATCACAGTGGAAAGAGACTGTGCCCCTTAGATTTGAAGTGAGAAAATTGCAAGGAACACTCTGGGAAAGCTGACCCAGCAGATGATGTCATGTTCATGCTGAGAGGGTAAAGAACACAGCATGTGCCTCCTAGAGTCCTTGTACCTTCTCCTAAGACAGGAGACAGGAAAGCATGCCCTGAAGATGCCTGGTAAGGAGGTATCAATGACCTTGGTGTTTTTGCAAAGCCCACTCAGGACCCAGTGGGTGCAGTCATTAACGCACCCTCAAGCTCATGTACTCCTGTGGTACATCCACAGACCTGTATTTATTCTACACTGGGAGTCAGATGACTAATAGGCCCAGTCCCTGCCCTCAAAGAATTGTGGAGACCCATCTCATATGTAAGTAAAGATAAAGCCAGGTGTGATAACACCTGTGATCCCAGTACTCAGTAGGCTAAGATAGTAGGGTCACAAGTTCAAGGCTAGCCTGAGATGCCCAATGAGAGCTATCTCAAAAGTAAATAGATATACAATATTTATATGTGGGGCATGATGGAAGACTATGAAAAGAATGTGGCACTTAAAGGAAAGAACTCAATCCACCTAGGACATGGACTGTCTTCTCACAGAGGACTCTCTCAAGCAGGAGATAGCTGACAGACCTGTTTTACACAATATGGAAATACTTCACATAGGGCACAACATGATGGTAACAATCCCATAGATGGATTAATTCATTTGTCAGGTCAGAGCCCTCACAAGCCATTCACCTCCCAAACTATATGGGAAAGACATCTGAATGCTTTGACACTTGATCTTGAAAGTGGTCAATAGTGGTGACAAGCAAGAGTGTGCCACTGAGAAGAGCAAGATCAAGCTGCCAAGACAGCATGGGAAAGCTGCACAAGGCTGGGTGGCCTGGGGGGCTAAGGAACCCAATAAAACAGGAAAAACAAGACAGAGACAGACTAACTCCCTCACATTAAAATAAAGAACAGTGGGTACCATGAGGCAAAAGAATCAAAAACTAGTGAAACACTGCATTTAGGAGTTGCTTAGACAAGCAGGGTAAAAATCATGGGTATGCTGGGTTTTTTTTTTGTTTTGTTTTTTTTTTTTTTTGGTTTGGGGCTGCTTTATTATCACTGTTATTATTGTTATTATTAATCATTGTCAGCTTGACACAAACTGAAGTCATCTGGGAAAAGGGAACCTTAATTGACTGATTGCCTCCATCAGATAGCCTGTAGACAAGTCCATGGGAATTTTCTTGATTATGATCCATGTGGAGAGTGCCACCCCTAGGCTGGTGGTCCTTCATGGTAAAAGAAAGTAAACTGAGCAATCCGTGGGGAGAAAGCCAGTAAGCAGCATTCCTTTGTGGTCTTTGCCTCCAGAGTCTTACCTGACTTTCTCTGTGATGAACTGTGAGAGGGACATATAGGCCAAAAAAAAAAAAAAAACTTTCCTCCCCAAGTTCCTATTGGACGTGATGTTTATCACAGCAATGGGAAGAAAACTAGGAGGGGACGGGGAGGTACTCTATGAACTTTCCATACGTCATGGGAAATAAGCAGCTGGGGTCTGCTTCCCAGAGAACACTGGGCCATGTCTGGAAACAATGTTGGTTGTTACAGTTTGGGGAACATGGAGTCCTTCTGGATCCTACCACCCGACAATGCACAAGATAGCCTCCCACAAAAAAGAACTACACAGCCCCAAATATCAGCAGTATCAAATGGAAGGGAAAATCACTATACGTGGATAAAATTGATTCTATTTCCTCTGTTGAACGTTTTACAAGACTGGAAACCAGATGATGCTGTGGGGATGCAGAGTTCAACAAGTTTCAAAGTTGAGAGGGGATTCCATATCAGTGGGCCCACGGCTGGGGAATCAAACAAGTACAGACCTGAACTGAATAAGAAGAAATTGACTCAAGGCCAGCCTGGTCTACAGAGTGAGTTTCAGGACAGCCAGGGCTATGCAGGAAAGCTATGTCTTGAAAAACCAAAAAGAAAAATAAAAACTTGCCCCGCTACCAAAAATGTCTATTTTTCTTGCCATTATTTCCTAAAAATGTGACAAGTGTGTGTATGTGCTGCATATTGCAGGTATACAGAAAGCTCAGCTACTATGCCATTTTATATAAGAGACCTGAGCATTCACAGACACAGATTTTTACAATTTTTACAGTGTTTTCAACATTTTCCTCTTTGGAAGCTATATGTCACAGCAACTAAGGATCTTCATTGGAATCTAGATTCCAACCACTTGTGAGTTGTGATGCTGTAAGTTACCTCACCTGGCCTCCCTCACCATAGTTCCTTCTTTTGTAAAATGAAGATAATTAAAGTATCAACCTCACATGCTGAGTGTAAGGATTAAGAGAATCTTTAAAGTTGTAGTTCAGTGCCTGCAACAAGTGGGCACTTGGTCGGTGTTAGCTGCCCATGGAACGAAGGATGCCTGGACCTGCTCTGAGGACCCCAAACCCAACTGATATCATCAGGAGAGAGATGACTAAAAGCATCACCTGTTGGAGACT